CAAACCACAAGATAATTAGTTGCGACCGATGTGATAATTCTCCATTGTAACACATTTTATCCAAATTCCTAAATTTTAATTAAAAACGTACAGTACAGTACGGTATTGATATTTGACTATAAAATTCAGACTATAGTCATTGTGACTTTCATTTACATTATAATATTATCATCTTATAAACATTAATTTTAATATCGCTATCATCAGTATCCTTATAATTTAATGTAATTCATTAATTATTAATATAGCATTACTTGATATTGATGATATGCAAGGAACAATCTATTATTAAATAAATAGAAGAAAGTGAAGAAATTAGAACATGTTTATGAGATCCAGATACAAACTGGTATCAATGTAAAATTGTATGGCACAGTGTATCATCCTACAGTGTATTTCATAAACAATTAAGAATCAGTATATTATACCATTATCAGATCACTCAACACACAATAATGTCTCACTATGAAGAATGACTAGTAGTAGTTAGCTGGGTTCAGAAAAAGTACAGGTACCAGCATAGTTCAACAATTGACATCACAACAATAACAATAAAAACTGATTTGGTAATCATTTTTAAGAATCTATTTTTATGAATGGTAAATTCTCTCCACTCCAAAACCTTGGTCCCCAATAAAGCCGACCGTATAACCAATGAATATTAAATGTTAGTTATTTTTGTGTATGTGGTGGCACAGAGGTCAACCAAGTCCGATAGGAATCAGAACCAAGTTACGACTTAATGACTTCCAGTCAGTTTCTTGGCCTAAAACTCCTGGTGAGATTTAATAAGGGAAAGATGATTTTATTGTTTAGAGAAAAAAAAAATGGTTTTCAAGTCTGTAAAAAATCAAAATAAACTCTAGTTTGATTGGCAAATTAACATTTTTAATCTGACAAAAGTTTTCATGTGGCAATTCAACATGGCCCCTTCTGTAATGTTGCATACGGTACCTCACCCTCTTTAATTAACAACAAGGTAATAATCTATTGAATATCATACCAAAGTCCTTGTAACAATCCATTCTATGAAATCAGCCCAAATCCTGATGAGTAACCTAGCAATCTACTGTAACTAATATTCCCCAGATTCTAATGTTTATGTTAAGGATGATCATGATTGATGATAAATATATGTTAATGCTTGACCACTTCTCATTGAGCATCAAATGATCTTTCATTCATTTTTTTCAGCAATGATTATTAATTACTGTATGATTAAATTCAGTCTACTGTATACACCATTTTCGCTAAATTTGAAATTAAAATTTTATTCCGATAACATGGCAACTACCGCTGGGGAAAATCTAGAGGCCTAGGCTCTATGTAGTACCAGTGTGTGCGCAGCGCTCTATTTACTACTAGTACTAGCAACTGTAGCTGCGCTAGGCCGCTAATATCCCAAGTGAAAAGTTGCGAAACTTTGGTGGAAATGTTTCAAAATAGACCCAATAAAATGGTGTGTACTTGTGGAATACTGTACATGTAATGTAAACTTGGTTACTGACAAATGTTTGTATTTCTGAAAATAGAAAATTTATTTTAACTTCACACAGGCCAGCACTGAAACAAAATTTATGACGGACCATCAGTCCTAAAAGGTTATCCAGTCAAAGGTGAAATTATGGTATTTTTATTGCATAAGAAATTCTATGCACTATTCACACTATTGAAGTTTTATGTGCCCATATATGGACAATTATGTCATCATGTCATTATATCCATACAGTATGGACACGATGATATCATCATCATGGTCAAATCATGTTGATCCATAATTTTTGGTAGTGTGGAGTTAAAAACGGAAAAAGCCAACAAAATAAACTTTTGGTTACAGTACTCTGTGTTATTAAAATCACAAACGATGATAAATCATCCATACACATCCAAACATCTGACAGGTTAAACAAAGGGAATTAAATAAACAACCATCAAGGTGGGGCACAGATCAAACACTATCATACACGTTATTGACATTCTGTAGTCAGAGGTGGTTCAAAGGTACAGTAGAAGATGTTACCACTTCCGCAAGATTTGTTGAGAGCATGAGGCGATTTTCGGACTCCGGACTCAAAATCACAGAAGACACGAGACATGTCAATAATTTTAGCCAAATTACGAAAGCTGAATTTGACTTTAATGATTAATGTAATCAAAAATAACCGAAAGTCTATAGTAAGTCAAAATTACAAGCTATGTTTTTTTTTTTTTTTTGGCGGGGGGGGGGGGGGGTTTTTTTTTTGCATTTTTCTTTTG